GAGGTGGTCGAGATAGTGTCTGAGTTCAGCTAAGTTTTGAGTAATCGTATCCTCCACGTTGAATACTGGTCGAGTGCGATTTTCCCTGGAATCCTGAGCCGTGCTTCGGAATTTTCAAGTCTTCACCGCAGGAATTCATCGGTCCTAGTGGATCGAAGAATGTTTTTCAGCTTTGCTACTCCGATTCATAAAAGACAACAGCTATTCTTGTGGTGGCAGCCAGTGTTGCGTCTAGTCGACCAGGCTGACCGTGGAAAATCAGAGCTTATCAAAATAGCTGCTGTTTTCTTACCTTTTTTCCTCGAAATAATCCTTGCTTTGAGATAAAGTTGAAATTTATGAGCTAAGGAATCTTTCCACAACTCAAATGTTCTGGCATTTTTTAGTTCGATGTTGAGAGGAGACTTAAGCCGAGGCTGTTTTAAATTGCTTAACCATTGAATGTCCCCAAAAACAATGTCATGCATGGCAAGCGAAAACTACCCAGCACTGGCGAGTTTCTCTTTTTTCATAATCCTAACCGTAGTGAATTTCATTATCAAGGAATTCCAGTGATTCTCAACATGGACGTTGTTCTGCTCATGAATTCAACTCCTACACAGAATTACTGACAAGATAAGAATGGATTCTATCTACCCAAAATCCGATACACATCTCGTTTAGTGTCGCTGTTTCAGACTTCACAAATTTGTTAGGGATCAGATGAAAGTTATGGAACGTTGAAAGCGTTGAGGCTCGCGGCTGCACATTGATTCTTTCTCTCGCCATCTTCAACCCACTCACTCTACACCTCTTCCCTTCCACTATCCTCTCTTCTCACACCAGCCAATCACCAATATGTCTTTAGCGATTCTCAGGCTCATGGTTTCATCCAGAAACGAACGACTTATAATCTCCTGAGGCTCACAATTTCATCCAGAGACAGCTTAGAATCTTCTGACGACCAAAGTGTAGTCCACAGCTTCGGATCGTCACGGGAACACCGTGAATCTCATGGAGCTGAAGAAGTCCATCTTTTGTGCTTAATGTTCTAGCTCATCCATTTTCACCGAGCTTAAATGCCTGTACTTTTTCTGCATATTCTACAAATGCTACTTATACATCAATTTATACAGCGGTTGACATATATGTACTTTGGCTCAGTACTTATCTTATGTTCTGTTTCTATTCAAAAAAACTTTTGTTCTTCGTTTACCCAGTAGGGAAGTTTTTTAGTATGTAAATAAAAAGCTACGTCATTGAAAGTGGTGGTGTACTGTGCAAACCACCCCGCAATATTATAGGGTGCGTCTAGCCCAGTGGTTAGGGGTATCCCGCAGTGCACAAATGGTCTTTGGTTCTATCCCATGCCAAGAGCTAACACTTTCCTCTTCTCTTCGGCGTTGGCAAATTGCGTCAGCTTTGCCTGAGAGAAGAATAAAACAGAGACTTGATATATTGGTAAGTTTACGCAAGGCTAGGCGTTCACATATAGGCCAAATGTATCTTCAATCAGTTTTACGATGCACAATGGAGTCGAATGCAAGTCACATCTCTTATGGATCTACTATCGCCAACGGATCCTTAGGTGGTGGAATGCGTTGTGCAGCAGACGTCCAGTTACCACCAGTGTTACTTCGAGCTGTGAAAGAGTTCGGCATTTCCATCTCCAAATCTAGTCAAAAATAAACCTGCACTACAGTAGAGCTCACCGCGCTGTGTGGACGCGCTTTCAGGGAAGAAAGTAGAAATAAGGAGCCTTGTATTAAAAGTGCGATTTTGTTCGTGTCCCTTGAGAAATCAAGCCCACTGAAGGGCACTAGCTTATGTCGTTGGCGAACAGGCAGCGAATAGAGGTCTGCCCTACTTAAGTTACTCAGTATCTTAAGGATTCTAAGTGACAAAAGCAGTGGTAGTCATCTCATACAGGGATGAATATGTAGCTCTTTTTTCATATCCGTTGTTTTCCTGGATTTTGAGCAGCTTTATCGCATTTTCTCATTTCTTGCCATTGTTTGTCGATGACGCCAATGTTGTTTTATCACCAACGCTTCGTTTATCTTCATTTCTATCAGTTTAAGAACATTTCTATGAATAATAGAGAAGCCAATCTCTTCTATTCACACTCGAGCCTGTCTCTGAGTTGTGTGTATGTTCACGATCCGATTTTTCTTGTATCCGTGAGCGTTGCGAAGCATCTCCCGTTCATTTATTTTCATGACGAACCGGAAGTCATTATCGTAGTAGTATTCACATGCGGATAGTATGACGTCTACGAATGCAGCCAGATGTTCTCTGATGTAGCAATCCTTTGCCACATGCTGCTTACTTGAGTTAGAGTCTTCTTAGCTTTCTCTTATTAAAAAGCAGATCAACGTATCTCTATTTATATTCCTGGGTTCCCAATGACCTACCATAACGTTGCTCCACAGTTTTTCCTTTTTACGTCAGTCGTGTCTCTAAATATTTATATTGACCCAATCACCAGATTACAAATCTCAACGAAGACAGAGCAAAGATTTCAATAAACTTCCCACTATTAACTCTGATCTCTAAAATATGAAGCATTTGGTATTGATCAATCCCTGAGATACACATCATGCATTCGATTCCATTCGTAGCACCGTAGGCATGATGGGTGCATATTTGGTCTCTACGATAACTACATTGCGTATTGCAGGCCACCTCTGAGAACCGTGATCATTGTGACAATCCATGGTCACTAGTCATTGAAAACTATCTTCATAGTAAAAATCATAATCTTCATAATAAAAATTCAACCAAAATCCCGGATATTTTGATGGTGTAGTTGTGATAAGTGCATAGAAGTTTGAACAATACTATTTATATTATTACTATTTATATACTATTTACAATACTTATTTACATTTATTTACATTATTTACATTATTTACATTTACATTATTTACTTATTTATTTATTTACAATACTATTTATGCACTATTTTTACAATACTACTATTTACCTTTATGCATGTGACAATTGGCCGGAATGTCGCCGTACATCCTGAGTCTTGTTGTCCTGCGCTCCAGGAGAAAACGAACTCGTCTCATATCTTCTCATTCAAGTAAATCCTGCGTAGTAACTTCGAGCCGGCTCATCAAGAACGCAAGAATTTGATTGTTGACGGTGGGGTTAGGCAAAATTTTTGGAAGTCGTTCGAACAATTTTCTTACTTCTTATTTTACACGAGCAGGCTTCGCATCCACTTCCACATCTCAGGGGTTCCTGCATTCGTTTCGCTTTCTCGCATCCATCATCCACGACAGTCCTCTAACTCTTGTGTGTGGCCTTGTCTGCGGTTTGAGAATTGCCATCTTCTTTATGGATGACTGTGAATGTTGGGCCTGTCGATTATCCCGAGCCGAGCTAAAGTGTTCTCACTTGTATTGCAGAGAGTGAGCCCCGCGACTCCGGAGTGATGAGAGGCTTGCTGAACTTGGCGTGGTACCGAACCAACACCTTGCTCATGATGAACTGCATCACCACCACTACGCTCCTACCCCACTTCCTCCCTCCCTTTTTCAGTTATTATTCCAGGTTAAGTGAATATGTGATTAATCGAGACGAAAAAAATTGTCGTAGGCAATTGGTGTTATCTGTTGAATGTGCACGTGATGACACCTATCAGCTTCATTTGAATGACAGCTTATGATCCGGAATATCGATCGGCTCGTCGTTTGATTTTTCAACCAGATGGTCACAGTTTGGCATAGTGGCTTCGATTGCTGGGCAAATAGAACGAGACAGAATTCCCATTTAGCACTATTAGACACAGTGGGGCGTGTGCTTAGTAGTTCCCAAGCAATATACACTGGGTCTTTGGTTCGATCCAGCTCGCTTAGATCACTAAGCTGCCGTCCTTTCGCGGTTGACAAATTGGTACCGAACTTGTCTGAGAGAATAGCAGCGCTGATCCGATATTTCTCAAACCGACCATCATTTAGCCTCCGTATTAATAAACAATATCTTCCTGAATTATTAAGCTAACACGAGAGTGATAACAAAGTTTATTCGGCTAACGTTTTAACGTCTTCGTCTTCATCAGAGCCAATGACTCACAGTTGTTCCCATTCTCGATGCCTTCAGCTTCGTATCGAGTCGAGTCTTCTTCAGCTCAATAACCCAAAATTAAATGATGATCAATTTAGAAAGTATTGATTTGCTATTCGTTATGTGCTGGCTAAAATGACACCCACTGCTGCAGCATGGGTTGTCTGGCAAAAACATGTCATCACCACCGGCCAGTCACGATCAACAGTAACCGTACGGTATAAAAGAGCGACGTCAGGTGAGGTTGCGGCGTTTGATCGGCACTTCACCAAAGAAGGTCCGGAGTCTGTACGACGAAGAAGAAACCACATCGAGAAGATGTACGACTACTTCGGACCATCGATTCGGATCATCGGCTCTGAGGAAGACGAAGACGTCGAAACATTAACCAAGTAAACATCTTCATTAACTTCGTATTGGCTCAGTAGTTCAAAAAGGTACTGACTTGATACATCGGCAGGTTATCAAAAGTCATTCTATAGGCCAGAAATACATCCAATCACATCTAAGATCTTAGGAATGGAATCGAATGCAAGGCGAATCCCTCAGGGATTGATCAATGTCGCGAGCATTATCCCTTATCCTCTCATGAGCTATCGATTAGTAGGCTAAAATCCTGTACTCAATGTGTTCTTAACGTTCTAAAGAAACCACATTACAAGTATTTGACTGTGACTCTGATTCGAAATCCAGCCATTCTAAACATCGAGCCACAAAATCGGTCGTCAGGTTTGGGGTGTCGGATGCGTCACACTTCAGCCGGTACTGACGACCTCGTCTGAAAGTCTTTACTTGCTTTGATTCCTATCGACTTCTCATCTATGAAAAACGAAATCCACTCTATTTTATAGTGATACTATCGACTTGTCGATTTTTACAGCGGTTGAAGACGAGGATTTTGAGTCGGCGTGACTAACTGCTTCTCACACCGTCTATAGTGAGTGGGGATGGTGTTGAAGCCGTTAGAGTTCTCCGAATGTATCGCTGATACGCCATGGTTTCGCCAAAATCTTCACGAACACGAAGTGGTTCTCGAAGACGCCTACAAAAGCATCAAGAATATCGAAACACAATGTCGTGAGCTGATCTCGTGCACAAGAAGTTCGTTTTATTCTTTTTGTTCCTTCTTTTTCTTTTTTCTTCCTATTATTCAGATCAGTTCGCTTCAATCGATTATAGAGATGAATTGACTCGACGAGGTCTAGATCTTTCTTTTTTCTTTCTACCATCTATTTGATTACTCCTATGGGATTTTGGATGGTTTCTTGCATTGTTATTGTTAGATCACACTTAGTCGCCCAAGGTGGACAAACTGAATCAAACTAAAGGCCAGCGAAATCCTATTTTTTAGAGACGTCTTACTTTGATTCTAGCTTTAAGTTTTTTATTCCTTGTTGACTTTGAAGCAAAGGGACACATCACCATAGTTCATTCTACGTATTGGTTTATCCTTTTCATGTTCACTTTGGTTCATTTTACGTACTGATTTGTTCTTTTCATAATTAATATATCACGCCTATATTTCATCCTCCCAACGGTTTACCGCCTCATCGTGGCTGGAAGGCATTCCTGGGTGTCGGACTGCGATGTACAGCAGAGCATTTATGCCCCCGCAGAGTTTCCCAGGCTGAGAACGAGTCCGGCGTTTCCATCAGGTAGCCTAGCGAAGAGTAAACCATTACCAGGATCCACCACCGTCCTGGTATTAAAGTTCCATGGTGGCAAATCTCTCTGATTCACAAGGGCGGCGACTGCCTGTCGTGGTGACGACCTGGGGCAGACTTTTGCCAGGCTGTCCTCGGGACTCCAGGGAATCGCAATGGCTAAACCAGCAGAACTCCGAAAAAAGTGGAGATTATGCTAGGGCCTGCACAACCAGTGAGAACGGGCCATCCAAGTATTCAAGTAAGAGTACCCAGGATCGACTTTCCATTAACCTTGGCATTGGATTATGAATTCGTCGTTTTCTCTCTCAGAAATCACGAGGTTGTTGCACAGCATACGTTTACTTCCATACAATAACACACATACAACACAACCGTAGCTGACGTTTCGGCAGAATCGCCTTCTTCAGAGCCTGGAAGAGTACACTAATACGCAACTTACTAGGTCAAACGCTTCAACAGCACAAACAGAAGGATGGAAATCTGAACGATAATTACAAGATCTACGGCTTCTCGAGAAACCCACCGTTTTTTTTTCTTGTCTTCCACCGGGGAAGAACAGCCGCTCAGAATCGCATATGGCTGGAGACTGCACCTCCCCACATCAACGATCGATACGAAGGTACGGGACGAGATCACGCGTGATCTCGGGGCATTCTTCCCTGCTTTTCATTGTAGATTTTTGGCATTTATCCAAAAGCCTCAAGAAGCATGCACGTTGGTGCTTTCGTCTCTGCTATGCTTTTGTATCCTATGCGTCCCCAGTGGTGTGTCTTGTTTTGCTTTTCGTTTACCATCTAGGTGTTCTTTTATTCGGTTACGTAAAGGTCTGCCCGTTTCGCCAATATATTCGTCTCCGCAAGTACTATAAGAGATCAGCTATATCGCACCTGAACTCATGCAGTCACCGTCCCACTGGAGATGGCTATTGGCCGAGCCAAGTCACGCGATTCTTCCTTTAGTTCCCTGGACTTTGAGTAAACTCGTATGATTTAAGCGGTGTGGGCCGTTTTTGTGATAGTATGCATAGAAATGGAGGCGCCTTTCACTTGTACTTGTATTCAGACAGTAGGTTGAGCGTCTTAACACAGTTGGCAGAGTTTTAACAATACTAATTGTAGTTACTTTTTACTTACTGTCTATTCTTTTTCCATGACAGGGTAAAATAAAGGATAAGGAATAAAGCTCTCGGCGTTGATCAATCGCTGAAGGATGTGTCATGCATTTGACTTCATTAAGCATCGGTTGTAGGTGATTGAATGCATATCTGGCCTTTAAAATGACTCGTGGTAGCCTACCGACGTATCCAGTCAATGCTGTTATCATCCCAGACAAGTCTGGTACCAATTTCCCGACTCCAAAGGGATGGAGGGCTTGCTGAGCCTGGAGCGCCGTGATCGATTCTGTGTGTATTATTGCAGGGCGCCTTAGACCACTGTGGCACAGGCGCCTTTGATGATAGGGTATGATATGAAATATCAAGTCAATTATATGTTGTAGGTTTCACCACAGTTTTATTTAAGTGAACTGGGAAACAATACATTTTCAGAGCTGTCTCTTGCACAGCGTGCGTTTGCGAAAACCCTGACAGAATTTAAAATTGAAACTGTCGGAACAACACAAACGGACGATGAGCGAGTCATTGGTACGAGTTTTACTTAAAGCAGTTGAATATTTTGATTTGAGCTCCTTTGTTTTGCAGGAAATTGTCTAAAGGAGTTTGGTAAGCTTATTAACCAAGTTGAAGAGGAGCGAACGAAAATTCTCAACGAGGCTGAAACTCATTATTTGGAGCCGTTGAAAAGGTTGGTACTTAAATATCTGGCTGATTGTGCAGTTCTATTGGTTGAGTAGAATACAAATCTTAACCACTTCCATCATCGACGGTTTATTTTGTCAAACATTTTCGTTTCCACTTTGGAAACTAATCCTTCATCTTTTATCCTTTGCTTTGGAAACTACTATTTCCACTCCTCTTTACCTCCTTATGTTCTAGAAAAAAGCTAGATTTCTCGTTCTTCTGTTTTAAGATTCCGTGTTGAAGCAATTGGTAAAACCCTACACGAAGAGAAGAGAAAATACGAAAAGGAGAGTACGAAATTTTATCAAACGTTAGAAAAACATCTTCATCTTAGCACAGTGGGTTTACTTATTAATTTCATAGATTTCGTTTACCTTTGCCTTTTTTGATCTTACAACAATTTCTTTTCCCAATTAGTTCTTGTGAGAATGGGGCGCGTGTGGTGCAGTTGTCGTAAGGGACACACACTTAGGCACGATCCTCGCACCCGTGGCTCACACAGCCTTCCATCCCTCTGGGGTCGGCAAATTGGTGCCAGACTTGTCTGGAAGGATAACAGCACTGGCTTGGTATATCGGCAGGGCACCGCGAGTCATTGTATTGGCCAGATATGCGAATTCAGTCACCTCTAACGATGCTTAATGAAGTCGAATGGCCGGCACGTCCTTCAGGGATTGATCAACGCCAAGAGCTTCATCCTCGCAAGAATATGAAGTACTGTTTTCAGATGCGAAAGAATGATTTTCGTGAAGCGGATGCGCATCTGGATATTCAGCAGCGTAGTTTCTTCAAGGCTTCCCTACAATACGTGGCTGAGATTCAGTCAGTTCAAGAACGAATGAAGTTCGAGTTTGTCGAAACTCTCAGTTCCTTCTTATATTCTTGGCTAACGTTTTATCATGTCGGTAAGTTGACACTCCCTTGTGAACACGTACCAAACGTACTAATGTTCTTTTTCCGGTTTTTGTTATAGATCTACTCTTTACAGGCCATGTCATCCACGAAGATTTCAAGCCTTTTCTTGACGGAGTTCAGGATAGAGTTCAGAAGGTATTAACTCACTTAGTTTCTTCAAAACTGGTTTTCTCCAAGAAAAGGCTGGCTGAGTTGTTTTAATATTGTTAGCATTTTCTATCTAGACAAAAGAAAGCTATAAAGCTACAATAGCTGAAGCTGAGGAGCTCAAAGACAAGATGCTCAAAACACATGCTAAGGCGGTGAGTTAATCTTTACCGTTTTTATTGCTGTGTTTATAGAACTAACTCGCCTAATTAATCGCGTCTGTTTCAGAGTCAAACAACTAATCCGTCAGGGTCAACTGCTAGTGGATCATCTGAACGGTCATCTACTATCAAGCAAGGCTACGTATACATGCAGGAAAAAAGCAAACTACCCAGTTAGTGCGGTTTCGATTTCATCTAGTTCACTTTATACTACTTATACTGCCATGCTTAATTTTAGAGACAATAGGTAGAGATGTGCTTGCTGGGAAATGGACCAAGTACTACTGTGTTTATTCAAAGGAAACAAGGATTTTCACAATGATTCCCATCACTGCAACATCAAAAACGGTTCCCTTTATCCTTATTATGTTTATGAATTTATCTACAATACAAATTGCGCTCTAATTATGCTCATAAATTCCTTTACAAGTTACGCTCTGTACTATGCCGGAGTCTTTGGCCGAGGTGAATCCAGAATTGTTCTTTTAGGACATGAAAGGTGCTTTGGGCTTATCTGTTTCATTTAAGCTTAAGGAATGTGTACGAAGATCCTCAGATAGTATTGACAAGAGGTACATTGCCCTATTAATCGTATTCCTTGTTATTCTCAGTATCCTATGTATTAAGGTTCTGTTTCGACATCATAGCTGATGAGCGACCGGATGTGATGACGTTTCAAGCACTTTCAGAAGAAGATCGACGCCAATGGATTGACGCCATGGACGGAAAACAGACGGTAGTGGTACTGATATATTTCGACAACTTCTTTAATTTGTACCCAAACTAACATTTTAGGTTTATACACCAGGGACTGGTTCTTCTACGACGGCTTTGCAGAGTTAGTGACTTTTGCTTAATTTCTGTCAAACCGATTATTCTTCTTAGGTCTTCGTTTTCAACATGCACATTTTTTATTGAGTTGCCAAACACCTTCTTTTGTGTGAAACAGACAAGACAATATTGCAATGAATTAAAACTTTAGTCGGTGAATAAACAAAGGTCGAACAAATAGACTTCTCAGTTTTATTCTGCCTAGTAGTTTTATATGTGGATGAAGTAGTTAGTTTCTTAGAATCCCGTGTGTTTATATTCTTACAGAGATTTTTCTTTTGGAAGTTATGGAAGAAACTATTCATTTTGGCCATTTTGAAAAAGATTGCCGGCTTGTTTCAATGACTACGTTTTTGAAGCATTTTTATACGAATGAGTTATCCTCACATATCGTGTGAGCCACAGATTTCTCCCTTTTCGTTCTGTTCTCTTGCAGCCGTCACACGTAGAAGTGTCTGGGGTTATGTGTGGTTTCAACTGCAGCTTAACGATTACTGTTTTCGTTTTTACTAACATGCTGCATACTGATAAAGACCTTTCTCCGGATTCCGAGGTGCTAAATCACTGTCAGATCTTCACCATTGGCATTCAGTAACTGTTGTGGATTGGAAGAAAGATTACTGCCTTGAGACCTATAAGAGTTCTTGCGGTTAGTTAACCGATTTACTGAAGACGGTGGGACATGTCGAAATCATATTATCAAGGATTGGCGATACCTTCGTCCGTTTTGCCATTTTGTTCACTTGGACCAATTTACCACTCTTTTTCTTTCTTCGAGGTGGTATGCAAATATTGCTGATGTAAATAATTTCGCGGCCTAGTATTCGCAAATAAACCGAACTCTAAGAAAGCGCATTACAAGTGGCTTTTATTAAGGGAAGCAAATAAAGAACTAGTAATAGAGAAGTTCTATGAATTTCAAATCTTCGTCCTGAAGCTTTTTTTGGAGTATATGGTTGCTGGAAAGCCCGAGTTTAATAGTTGAGAAACATTGGATTTGAAAAGCCTGCTTACAAAATGAAAGTCTGTTTCACAAGTTTTTCAATACCTCTTCACTAGAAGTTCGTACTCTGGATTAGTTTCGATTTAAAACAGGTATTTGGTGATATAAAGAGCCAGTCGTGTGATATGAAGTTTTTGAGGAGGATCAATGAGGTGGGCCCATGTATTCATACACCACGAATCACCTGTATACACAGTTGATTAACACTTTTTTCTGTTTAGTTCAGAGTGGTCGTTGTCGCGAACGATGTTTGCCATCTCCTTGGATTTTAGACGCGTGAAGTGAAAAAGCTTATAGTAAAGTTCGTTCACCGAAGTGACAATCAGTAATGCCTACCTGCATTTGCTACTAACATGAAATTCTGATTGTTACTTTTTTTTTGGAGAAGCTTGTATTTCACGCAGAAAAACAGTTGTCCCGGTGGGATTTCCTCCAACACGGTGGTGTTGTTCACGAATGCATTTACGGTGCTGGTGACTACCACGCTAGTGTTGAAAATTGTATAAATGTAAACATTATTTTCAGTTTTTGGAAGCTTAAATTGTGACACATTGACAACGGCGTTCATTATCCACTGACTCACACTGCCTCACATGTGTTTTTCGACACTAGACGTTTCCGAGGACTGAAGAATTTGAGATGTATACAGAAAGGGCTTTGCTGTATCGCTGTGTAAATAGTTTGTCTAAAGTGTTATTTTAACCCTGAGTTTGTCTAAACTCCTCCCAACGGTTTACCTCATCGTGGCTGAGAGGTGTTCCTGCGTGTCGGACTGCAATGTGCGGTGGGGCGATTCATCCTCTCTACAAGGTCTCCCAAATTGAGTAAGAGTACGACGTATCCATCAGAAAGCCTAGCTAGGAGTAAACCACTACCAGCATCCACCACCGTCCTGGTATCTGGCTAGTCGCATGGTGTCAAATCTCCCTCTGGCGGCAACTCCCTGTGGTGGTGACGGCCTGGGGCAGACTTTGGCCAAACTGTTCTGGGGACTCCAAGAAATCACAGTGGCTAAACCAGGAAAACTCCGAAAAAATGGAGATTCTCTTGGGACTCGTGCAATCAGTGAGGACGGGCCATCGAAGTATCCAAGTTTCAGGATTTGTCTAGACTGTCTAGAATTTTCAAGAACTTAAAACGAGGTTAAGTGTTTAAGTGTTTAAATTTTCTAACGTAAATGCGGTAACTCGGAGCGTTTGTGGTTGGGCGACATTGTCATTTGTTGCAGAATGAGATCCATTGTATTTAGTCGCTCAGCTGTTCTATATCGAACACCGACGAGGAAGAAAGATGTTTTGGGCTCTAAAAGTGAGAACTTCATCTTGGCAAAACAAGAAAAACGCTATTAGCTGGCAAAGATCACTAGATTTTAATGGGTTTTGTTTCAGCAAAGTCCATCGTAATTTGAGGTGCGATTGCTTAAAGTTGTATGCCACAATTATTTTCGGACATGCGTGAACGTGTAAGCGTGTAAGTAGTATATTATCCTTCAGGGGCACGTCTAGCGCAGTGGTTAGAAGTGTCCTGCAATACATATGGGTTCGATCCCGCGTCCCAGGCTTAGCAAGCTTTCCATCTCTCCAGAGTGGGCGATCGGTACCACACCTGTCTGGGACTGGAAAGATAACAATACCGACTCTGCAGTAACTGCCACGACCGACTTTCTATTAACCTCGGCATTGATCAAGTGATTTTGTTCGTATTTTTTTGAGCAAACGCGAGGTGTTATTGTTCTTTGTTCACGATTAAGCTGACGTTTCGGCGAATTTCGCCTTCTTCAGAGCCTGGAAAGGTCAAGTTGATAGCAACTCACTCGGCTAGACGCCTCCATAACCAAACAAAGAAACCCCAAACCAAGATTTCAATCACTTTGAACACAGCTTTGCACACTTACCGCTT